TGTGGAATGCAAGCGCGCGGATTGATTATCTCGAGCTGTTACAGTCACCTGCAGGCGTACACGATGTTTATAACTTGTACGTGACTGGCATACATGTAAGCATTACGCCAAAGGTAATTAGGGATGTCGGAATGAGGAATTATCCAAGACAAATATTTATGTCGTCAATAAAATTCGCGAGATCACGTTCATCTAACGATTGACGCTCGATTCGCTAACTAGATAAATAGAGAAAACGAAAAAATATTCACCAGTCTATCGTCAAGTTTAGATATTTTTGTTCGATTCATTTCTAGTTACGCATTTTTTGAAATTATACACATTGCACAAGTTTAAACTTCTCACTTTATCGCATTTCTCGCGAAACATCGCAACACGCCATATTGTGGTAATTGGATTTCAACGGAACATAACCTTCTTGACCATTAACCTCTCAATTTTTCTTACATTCCAATATATCAACAACTGTACATGGTACTTTATACTTCTTTAGCTTTATATTTCCACAATCTTCCATCGTATCCACCTACGCGATCATCTCACAAACTCTCAATTACACGTACACACACATCACTCTCAGCATGCAATCAGTAAATTCATTGCACAGATATTCCCATTCCGTCTAACAATCCAGAAACTAATGCGCGTTTTCTCGCTTCGAGACTAACGATCCCGCGATCGTGTAAAAACCACTTCAAGCCTCTTTTACCTCATACCACCAGCTAACCTCCATACTAGTGTTCGTTAATTTCGATCGACTGGCGAGAAGTTGGTTCATGGTCGATAAAGTACATCGAAAGGAAAGAGACATGAATAGAGGCAGCTTAAACGGGCGGGAAAAACGAATAAGAACGCAGTTAGCTTTTGAAATTTATACGATGCGTTGTCTCATTATCGGCATACGAACAAATAAAAATCATTACCATTCATCGTAATATGAAGGCGGGATTTTCTATAAGCGTGTTCAACATATTTATATCGATAAATACAGTGCAAAAGTACATACGTATACTTATACATACTGTTTCAATACTCTATTCTCATTACATTATTTTCTTTTATTTCTGCATTATTTAATCTTCGCAGTTTTTAGGTTAAAATGAAATCTTAATTTATCATGTATCTCTTACAAATCAAAAAAAAAAAAAAACATTTTAACACGATTTATTTTTATAAAAAATAAAAAATTTTAAAATTATTTGCAAAGACTTTCAGACTTGTATTATTTATTTTTCTTTTTTTTTGTAAATCGAATATCTATTGTTTTTCACGCGTTAGAGAATCTCTAACAAAGAAAACATTCCTATTAACGGAAGTAACGGTGAAGAAGCGAATCTCTCGTGGTCGAGGTGGAAGAGCATGAACACGCGTCACGATTTCAAACAGCGCGAAATTACAAAGCGGCCACGTTCGTGACGGGCGAAATTAAAAATTGAATTCCTGAGTCAGAGTAGGGGGAGGACGCTTTAACGCGAGAACGCGTCCCGACGGCCGCGTTTCCGGTGCGGTGCAATGTGCTTCCTCTGAACGAGAGACCACGTCGCTTGCGCGGTTTTAATTAACCAAATTCTCCCCTACGTTTTTGTGACCGCGACTGTAGGCAATAAACATGTGGAAGTCGCGTATAACATCGCAATAGAAAGCCCGCTTGTGCGCGCCGCGAATTTATGCGCGCGCCGCTGTAAAGGAAATGCGGCTTAATTCGTTGTAATGTGCGCGAATTTCAAAAAGAGAAAGTTCAAGTTCATTCTAACACGATATATTAAATGATATAAAAATATCATCTGCTTAACGGATAATTAATTATTTATATTATATCTTACAGGAAATTTTTAAAGAAATAATTTTAAAGAAATAATCCAATATTCGTAAATAATATATGTTAATAATATGTAAATTTATATATTTTTTTACATACAGAAGAAAATTATTTCTTGAACGTAAAATAAAATAATAATGGAAAGAATAAAAAATTCAAGAATAAACACAGAATATCATAATCGGAACAGTCTACGTTAGCAAAAAAAATTGCCTAGAATCCAGTTCGATCGTGTTGCGGAAATTTCATCGTTCTGCTCGAATTGCTCGCTGTATTAAACATCGGCAAAAACATTATCTCGCTGCATTGCTATACAATTCTCCCCATTATAAGTCCCTCAACTAGATAACTACTTGTTTTTATCAATGTTATAAAAAAAAAGGAAAGAAAAAAAAAAAAAAATAAAGAAGGAAAAGAAATTCCACGAACGACGAATAAGAGGCTAGCGGCGAGCATTAGATTAAGATCCCTCGGATTCAACGGATCGAGGATTACAATCTCGAGTACGTGGTTAAAATATTTTTTATAGGCACACAGGCTCGTTACAGGCGTGTTGGTAATTCGACGGCTAAATTGTCCCGGCGAAACAGACTTAAACTGCGTCTAATAGAGAGTCGCCATTACGAACGAATTGCGAGTCCGTCGTTACGGTTAAGAGTGCAAGAGAGCAGTTTCGGTGGCCGAGGGGTGATAATTCGCAAATAGCCCGGTCACAATGAAACGTGCTCGTCCATCCATGAACCAAACCACTCGTACGCCACTCTAGAATCGAGTGCGGTCAATTCGAAGACGAGCTCGAGCGTTTCGACCGGTGACCCGAAGCGATCGTGCACATTTTCCTTCCACATGTATTTATTATTATTATACTTTTATTATATATATATTATATATTTTTATATATATTATATATTATATTTTTTACTTTTATTATATATTATATTATTATACTTAAGTGCATACGCATTTCGAGAGCCTCGTAATCCTTTTCCCTCGTAAATAAAAAAATCTCTATCTAAACCAGCAGAAAAAATTTGTAAACAAGAGACATGTCAATATTTTAAAAAAATATACATAACAATTATTCCGATCCTTTCTTTTCGATATCGATATATATATATAAAATAGAACTTACTGTATATCGAAATTTCATCACGTAATACGTATATAATTCAGAGTTTGTTATGTTACGAACAATGACTCGTATCTTTTAAGCCGCGAGATTAAATTCCTTTGACAGGCCACAAATTCCCCACCCATAAAACGCAATTAACATACCAAACAATCAGGCACCATTAACGAACCTAAGCCAACCGATTAAAACGATCCGTTACTCGAGCTCATTGCTCGAAGAGATCGAGCCTCGTAGCGGATCGAAAAGTGCGCTCGGCTAGGCAAACAACTTCTCCGCGTCGAATTCCTCGAAACTTTCCACCTTCAATTTGCCGCTTGAAAATAATTACCGGCCAATTACATTCGCGCCTGTCTGCCTGTAACCCGGATCGCGCTTTGTCCAAGCGTTAAATGCCAACTATCCGGCCAGGATGACATACAGGATCGTTCAGAATAAAGACACCTGCCCTCGATCCCGTTTAAAACGACGACGAGAGGACGAGAGGCGGGGGAAAAATAAAAGCGGCTGGGGAACGCGTATATAGCGTACACCTCGTCATTGTAATGGGGCGCGTAGCCGTGCACAAGCCTCGAGGAGGCAGGAATTATTTTCACAAGTTCCGGGCAGCCCTTTGTGGGCCCCCTTTTGCGCGCGCGCTCACCCGGGCAGGTGCTCGATCGGTCGTGGATGAATTCTCTTTACGGGTTACCAACCTTCCATTACAGAAAAACGTCTCTATTCAAGAGGCACGTTTAATCCAGACGCCGGTTTTTTATCGCGGCTGGAAGCGGCGGATCATTTGTTTTTGCGCGGCGTACCGCTCTTCGAGGACGAGGCGTGGGGTATTGCACAAAAGTCGATTTCAACAATTTTTACCGTGAGCCAAGTAATATCTAGGTTATCTTTAAATTTGGCTATATACATACAGTTCGTTTCTGAAAAGCATCTATTCTCGAAATAATAAGATTTAATCTTGTTGAAGAATTTCTCTTGGAAAATAAAATTATTCACTCGATTAACAATCGAGTGAAATATTATAATCACTGTTGCGTTAACAAATACAGAGTTCAATTTGAGATTTAATTACTAACTTCGATTAAATCAATGTGAGAACAAAATTATTTTTTTTTTTCCGCAACGCGAGATTAGATACTTTCGTGAGATATAATGAAATTACGATAATTTTAAACCCACTTCTCCGCGAGAGAGTTCTAGTTGGCGATGGAAAACAGGTCGACACGATCGGCGAGATCCGTTAATCGGCGCGATTAAAGCACATTAGACGAGAGAAACACACATAACTCGTGTCTATTAAACATTTTTACCTCGCCTAGCCGGGTGAAATCGTTCGTTCCGCACGATCGATACACAACGGGCCATTAACATTCCCCGCTAATAGCATAGCCAGAGCGAAAGGCCGGCGTTAATAAAATTATCTTAATCTCCGAAGTTCTCGACAGCTACCAGTATTTCTGTGAAACGAACGATCTCCGTGAAAATGTAGTCCCGCTGCATTTGCCGTCCATTACGCCGCTAATTTGTTTCATTTAGGAAACTGATCTTCCAGCAATTCCTCGCTGTTTCGTAATTGTGAAACTGATATACACCAGTTTACTGGAAAGCAGACCGATTTGCATACGTGTGTGCGTGTATAAGCGCACGCTTATGTAACATGAATTGAACCGTAACCTTGTTTAACGCGTTTCAACTTCGCTTGGATCATCGATGGCCAAGATTATCGAATTGATAATTTTCATTACGCTTACGAGAACGTTCCTTGGGTTTAATTTTCCCTTTTGAAGTGGAAGAAAATAGAAAAAAAAAATAAAAGAAATTGATATATCTGATTGATCAGTGTTATACATCTTGATATGATAATAATTTATAGGCAAAAGATTAATCAATGAAAAATTATAAAATTTTAAAAGGAAAGCAATATGATAGTGTGAATAGGATGAAATTGATAATAGAAATTTTAATAAATCTCGAATCTATTTCTATTTTTATGAACACAAAGTCAATATTTATTATGTTGATTAAAAAACAAGATGAAGAGAGTGATTACTTCAATATAGATTGAGAATGGAATTTTTTAAAGAATATTTGTATATTTGAATACAAACATATGTAACCGAAAACGTATGTTTCTTTTTTTTTTTTTTTTGTTTCTATAATCTTAAGAACACGTATCTTAGAAACGGGAAGTGCTTTCAAGTGTTCACACTTTCGTATACCAGGAATAGGCGATCTGTCAAGACCCTATCGTTTACGCATAAACTCCACTTCACAGAGTGAAACCATGGAAGGGATCTAAACATTCCCCAGACTAAACACCTACACCACCCACGCGACAACCATGTGTAACTAGTAACAAATGTTTTGAATTATCTTGTAACGTAATCTTCCCTAACAAAAACGATATTCCATGGATTTTTGATGAGGGAAAAAAAAACGACCTCATATCTCTCTGCTATTTTCCCATTCTTTCTTGATTTTAATAACCTGCAAATCAAACAAGAACCTGTTAACATCTTTTAAATAAGATATATAATAAAATATATAATAAAAATATAATAATAATAAGATAATAATAATAAGATATATAATAAAAAAAGGAAAAAGAAAAAATGATTTATAATAAAGAACTATCTTTAAAGTTTTTCTATTTACAATGCAATACTTTGTTATTTAATATCATTAAACGTTGAAAACTTCTATTCTACATCGAAACGATAATATTGAAAATGAGGTACATTGAAATGATAAGGAAGCTCTAAGAGTATCCAAATCATAGAGAAAATGCATTGGAAGTTATATTTTATACTTTTTCTTTACGTACCACGTTTCCTTCCCCTGTTTTCGACCATCTAAGATTTCGAAACGCTCGAGCACGCCACGATACGCTTATAAAGCATATTCCCGTCGACGCTGGGGCGGGTGCGAGCTTAATACAAATCTAACCGAGCGTAGCCTCGGCTGAGCCAACATAATCAAACTTCTTAGGTTGGCAACTGTCGCGATTTATCTTCTTTTCCACCAGTTCCTCTCTCCTCTCTGGTTCTCCAGTTTCCGCCGTGTTTCCCGTTCCTTCCCTCACCCGTTGACTCCGTTCCACCGCTCACACTCCGCCTTGATCCCGGCTCCCTCACTCCCCTTATTCACCAGGAATAAAAAACAGCGGCTAAGCAGAACGGTGCCCGAGGTGGAACGGTCGGATAATAAATCGCTCGACGATGTGGCGGCAGGCGATGCCGACAGATGGAGGGGGCGAAAGAGAGATAGCTGGAAAACAGAAGAAAAGGACGTTAAAGCGTGACAAAGAGAAAGGACCGTGCTGGCCCGGGCAAGGTTGGAAGGAAAACGATAGAACGGAGAGCGATGTATACGGGAGATCGCGTAAGAAACGAGTGGAGAAAAAAGGATGCTCGAGGAAGGAACGGCTCGGTCTCGGAGGAGCGACAAAGATCAGCGACACGGGAGTAAGTCAGAACGGGAAAAAAGGGAGAAGAAGTGAAAGAAAAGGAAGAAAAATCGTGCGCGAGAGAAGGTAGGATGGAGGCGAGAGAGAGAGAAAGAGAGAGAGCAAAAAAAAAATCCGAAGTACCTGTATCCTGTTTGTTACAAGGCTCCCAGAGGCACGAAGCGAGGGGGATTCCTCTGGCGAGGAAGGAGCAACGGAGGTAGGTTTAGGCAGCTTTCACACTAAAGCCCGAATTTACGACAAAGGAGGCCCATTAACCCCGTGGCATCTCGCCTCGAAATTGACTTTGCTCCCTACCTGAGTCTTGCGACGACGCGTGTTCCCGTCCCCCTGGCGGACAGAGATAAAACTACGATGGAAAGGGAGGGGATACGGACTAGGGACCAGGGAGGGTGAGGGAAGAAGGGTCCCGCCGAGTCAGCGACAAGCACGATGTAAGCGTAAAACGAGACGATTAGCGACGTTCAACGAAAGCGAGTGGAATCTTCGATTTCGAAAAGGGAAAAAAAGAATTGGACGCGGGACGCGTGTCAACCTATCGTCGCGTAATTTATTCGCGGAGAAGAGAAAACGCGCGAAAGGTTTATCGCGGTCGAGCAAATCGCGCATAATACTTACGTATCTCGATCTTCGTTGTATCGAGCCCGTTGTACGCCTCTCGATGTGTATCCCCCCCCAGTGTATACGGCCGCGTGCGTGGATTATATACACGCAGTGGTGTACGACGAACGAGAAGCGTTTCTAATTGCCCCCGCGCGCCTGTTTGTTGGGACATAGGTATAGAGTCGTTCAGATTATGCTAACAGCTCCTTAATCCACGACGGGCCGTCGTATACAAATTCTATGCCCGGCTTATCGTATTTCATTATTGGCGTTTCTATATTATCGCGGTTATCTGGCGAACGCGCGTCTACGAGTCACGCCGCGCGTAAATACACGGCTCGATAAACGGATCGACACGCTCGCCACGCCGCTATCTGCTTTGCCCTGTCCTTACACGTGCAGATACCGGTCAGGAAACGCGAAAAAGGGACCGGAGCCGGCCGTTCGATGCATTCCCTTTCGCCGACCGGACGAAACCCCGAACCTCGAGGAACGAGGTCTTCTATCTCTCGGACGGTACACGATGTGTACCAACGATAAACGAGGCGCCGGGATTGCAAAACAAATTCGACGATCGACTCGCGAGACGAAGAGATAGCCGCGAGTCTCGTCCACCGGAAATGACGAACGGCTTCGAATCGTGGAACGATGAAGACGTCTCGACGACTTGCTTCTCGCGACACCAGTTCTTGCCTTTTTCTTTTTTCTCCTCTTTCATTGTACCCTTTATTTTGGTTCGTTCTCTTCTCCTGGACTCGTGCCTGGCCTCTCTGCGTGTATCTTTTCTGAAATTCAATTAGAGATTACATTGATGATTAAATTGCTGTTCTACGAGTTGTTTAATTCGTTAATCGCGTTCTTCCTCGATCAGAAACTCTCTTTAGAAGTAAAAAATTGATACGGGTATATTAATTGGATCTGCAAATCTATATCTGACAATGTATTCTGAATAAACATATAGGTGATGATTTATGAATAATAATAATGTCGACAAAAAATAAATTAACTGGCCTTTTCCTCGTGATAAGTTAATAATTACGCGTGAAGATTAAATATATAATAGTTCGATTCTCATAATTATATATCCATATAATTTAATATTGATTGAAATATGTTTAAAATTGGTCGAAGTTGCACAATTTTAAAAATATGGAAATTATCGAAGATAATCCTACACCGCATCCTAGTTTTCTTTTCATCCGGCACGATATTTTCGAAAACTCGTTTAAATACAGCAACGAGGTGTCGATTTCAATGCATAATACAAAAGTACCATTATTCCGCGGGCTTCGAAATTGGAAAACGGGGTTAACGAGTTATTCTTACTTTATCTTTCCGCTCTGCGTGAAAGAGTATATCTTACGATATTGCATTTTTATTCGCTGATCGGGCGAAAAAAGCTGCGCGCCCGAAAAAAATTTGTCCCCTCTTCCCTCCCCTCCCCTTCCATCGGGGCCAACATCGGGGAAACAACGATCTTAATTTAGGTGCTTTAAGTAAATTGGCGGATCCCGATATTGCGCTGTGCCGACCGAGGGAAATGTCAATTATCGTCCAATTGAAAATGGACGAAACACGATATCGTACTATCGCCATTTTCCCCTCACGGAGCCCTATACTTTCCCGGATAAATTACGAGGTTTCGGCCAGATTGGCCTTGCGGTCGGATTCCATCGTGAAATAAAAAGGGTCGCGCAGATCGTTCCTACGTGATTCCCTCCTCCGCAAAACCTCATCCACTGTAACCTCCCCCTCCCTTTCTCCATGCACTCCGTATTTTCCTTTATTCGTTCCGACGGAGATTCGACGCGTCGATGTATCAATATCGATTCGAGTAGTTTTCAACCGAGTCAGCCATTCTGAAAGGGGAGGGGACGCGCGAGGACACATTATTTTCAATCTTTTCCTTTTCCCTTTCTCGCGTTAATCACCGCTCGTTCAATTTCAACGAATGCCGGGTAAACCGATGTCTTTCTTCTCCATGACGAAACGGGGAAAGAGGGAAGGGGGGGAGGGAGGGAGGGAGAGAAAGCTTACAAAAATGAAGCGAAGCGAAGAGGGAAAGGGGAAGGAGAAGGGGGGAATGAGGTTGGTGAAGAAAGGCTGCCTGATTTTCCGCGAAAATACCAAGTCAGCCGAGTTGAGTATCGCGGTCCGCAAGCAAGGGGAGGGGAGAAGGGGGATAAAAAGTCCCTGACAAGGGCTTACATTGAAAGCGTACAACGGTCCTTGGAATTGGCGATTTATGCGATTCGCGAGAAAAACAAAAGGATATACTTTTTTTTCGCGATACGGACGAGAGCTCGTCGCCTGGACAACGAGGGAGGAAGGGGTGGGGAGATTCGCGGGAGCTATAATCGGAACGAAGCAGCGGGGATTACGGATAAAAGACGCCACTGTCAGCAATAAAGAAGCAGCTGTATAATCCCGCGCGGACCGAAGGTATAATGTACTTACAATTAGGTATCCCGTCCCGTTGTATTTGCCCCGGGTCTCTTCATCGCCCCGCACGGCTCATCCCCCTCGGGCGAACAAATTTCTTTTCCCCTCACTTTTAGCAGGGGCTCGCCTGGCACTGTATATATGTATATGTATATATATGTATATACATATATATATATATATATATCCTTCCGCCTTTTATGCCTTTTATGCCTTAATCAGCAGCGGAGGCCCGGGGTTGAAGGGTCCTCCCCGACGCAATGGGCTGCCCACGAGGAACTTCCATCGCTTCCCTTATATACATACGACAAAGGAGCAGGACGCGAGCGGAAAGTAGACGAGGGAGAAGAGAGAGAGAAAGAGAGAGAAAAGAAGGAAGAAGTGCGGGTGATGGAGGGAGCTCTTCTCGGCCCAAGATGGGGGAAGGATATCGTCGGGTAAGAACTTTCTTGCCTCTCGTTAGGAAGCAACTCTACAAAATAAGTTGAGAGAGAAAAAGGAAGAAAGAGAGAGAGGAAAAAACAGAAAGGCCTAGAAGATGGTAGAAAGACGAGCGTGGAAGATAGAGGAAGAGGAAAAGTGGAAAAAAAATTCCTTCTTCTTCTCTCCTCTCTCTCTCTCTCTCTCTCTCTCTCTCTCTTTTCGCGGCAACCTCTCACCGGTGGTGCAGAGTCTACGTGGCAAGGGGGTTCGAATGAGGCGCGTCTGGGAAATCTGTTATTTTCTTCCCTCTTTACCACCGCCGCCCCTCTCGCTCTCCAAACACGCCGATTCTCTCTACCATCTATATGAGGGTGCCATCCCGAGCCGCAGGGGGTGAACGAACGAGGGGCGAAAGCCCTTTCGATTTAGGAACTCATTGAGAAGTCTGCCGCTGTTGCCACCCCGAAACGTCAACGTAACTTCCCTCCCTAACGCTACCCCCATTTAACCGGCTTGTTCCGCGCCCGCGTCCTTTTATGGGGACTGGCACGCCTGGGTGTCCCGCTCCTCCCCTCCGCATCTACACCACCGTTTTTCGTTCTTTGCTAATAACGGCGACATCGGATTCGCGCTGACGCATCGGTCCGCCGGTATAAACCGTTTTTCGACGCTTCGTTAACGCGATTCCGTCGGGGAAAAGGCGCACCGACCGGAAGCAACCTCGTTCAATGCGGCGGCGGTGACGACTTCGTTGACCTCCTCCTCCTCCTCCTCCTCCTCCCGCCCCCCCACTCACCCCCGTGTCACGATGGACAAACGTTGGAATAACGTTGGGGGGAGGAGGATCGATGACAGCGTAACCAAAAACCCGTGCGCTCGCCCGACCGGACGCTTGTTGCACATTCGACCGTCGAATCGAAATCACATTGTGTACCAGTGGCCAAGAGGATTTGTCGTGGGAAAATGTATAAATTAATCGTATATCGGAATACAATTCGTATTATCTTCGAGAAATTTCGATCGGTTGTTTCAATTTCTTCAATCGTTTATATAAATCGTTTAAAAAAAATTTTGTTTTTTTTTTTTTTCCCTATTTCGTAATCCCCTCTTGTATCTGTTAAAATTATATATCGATAACAATATGTTGCCCTTACAGGCAAACATTGTTTTCTATGGATAGAATAGAGACATCTAATAAAACAATCGTATCATCGATGAAAAAGATACCAACGGATAACCCAAATTTTCTCTAGAGATAGCCCGCTGACAGGAGTACGGTGGAAAAGCAATTGGTCGAGCGATCTATTTAACATCGTGGCCAATTATACGTGCAGCGGAGCGGATCGGGTCGGGTCGATCTCTCGAGGATCGGCCGTGTAAATACGATCCCGAACGAGGCCGTATAAAAAGCGGACCACGAGCGATGCGCATCTGGCCCTTACCGACACGTCGGCCTCGCCTCTATCTGAAAGGATGGATTACGATCGCGTGATTGCTGGTGCGCCGAGTGGCGCCCATATAATTACCCCCTTTTCTATGCTCCATCGGTCTTGGTCCCCTCTCCCTCCCCCCTCCCATGATGCTCGTCCCTATTCACTCGGGGTGTTCCAATAAAATAAACAATGAGGGCTTTCCTTGGGGGAGGGTTTGAAAGGGAAAGGGGAGGGGGGAGAGAGAGAGAGAGAGAGAGAGAGAGAGAGGGGTAGGTTCATATTCTTCTCGGTGCCGATTCACCGTGTCTACAATGCGCTCACCGCAGGTCACGCTCCGTTCGGTTCCTCTCTCGGTGCACGCTCGACGGCATAATAAATCATTTCGCGGAACCGCTCGACCGGAAACGGATTTTGTACGCTCCGTTCGTCCCCTGTCATCGGCGGCAACGATCGCGGGAGACGTCGATGAACGGGTTCGATTGCGTGACTCGGGATAGCGTGGGCTCTAAAACTCGAGTTTTGGCTAGAGTTCGCGTAAACGTATTAGCGGTAAAGTTTGCACGTGTGTTTCGCGTTAGATAAGTTTTCGAAGGTGTATAAGTGTAATCTCTCTAATGAGTATATAATTGGAATCGTTAAAAGAGAAGATCGTGATATGCGTTTTTGAAAATTTTGTTCGAATTTTTAAAACTTTGATATGTATTACAGAAAGTTTATAGAAACGAGTATTGCGCAATTTAATTCTTCGTAATTATGATAATAATAAGAAATAAAATCAATCTATATCAATCTAACGCTTTCGTGAGTTTTTATGATCTTTAAATATGTTATAGAGGATATGATTTTAAACAACTTTTTCCCGACGATGATTTATATTCACCGAAAATCGATTTGAAATTATAATTGTTCGTAAATATTTCTATATGTAAATATGATGTATATTTTTGAAAAAAAAAAAAAAAAAGAAAAGTAATATTTATCGATGTTTTTCAAAAGAATGTGTTAAATTTTTAAAACTGTTTCGTAATAATTGTTGACTTAGGACTATTTAATCAATAATTAACGAAAAACGATATTTTATTAAGGTAATTAGTGAAATATTAAGAGGTTAGATATTAGAGCTTTATTTTAGAAGTTTAATATTGAAGAATTAGAAATGATATTATGCAAGATAGATAAATAGCATTGGTTAAATGATGCCTAAAATGTAAGTATCTCACGATACAATGCTAATCACGAAATGCGAGTATTCCGTATACAGAAACGTTTATGCAATTCGCGAGTTTATTTCGCACAGGAAAAACAACCGTGTTACGTGACCGAACAGTTATTCTTGAAATACATAACGAGTCATTGATGTTGGTTTACGTCGTAATATAAACTTCGTAATATTTGTTTAAAAACATAGTTTAGCGTACTTCATAATGATATTTTTATATTTTGATACCATAATGTTTCTAATTCTTTCTAAATATTTCCTTCTTAAACATTTTATAAAATTTCACAAAGCACAATTTATTAACAAAAATAACGCTTGATTTTTTTATAATAAAAATATAATATATTTAATAAAAATTAATTCTCATTTCTAATTAACTTTCATTTCAAAGATTATATCATTTGTTCTATCGAATATTATATTATTTGCAACATAACCTAAATATGTATTACATACCTGATACATAAGGAAAAGCAATTTCTTCAAAATTTTCTTCAAAATTTTCTTCACTTAATATCCATTTAACAAATATTGAACAATGCAAAGCAATCGGAAATTCTATTTTCGATAACACAACAGTTGAAAATTTCATGATTCTTTCGAACAGACTCGTAGAACTTTCCAGAAAGATCGAGTTTCCGCAGCGACCTCTTTAGTGGTACAAACGGTTGGTAGCGCATACACGAACTCTCTGATGCGTTGTCGTTAAATTCGTCTAGGAAATACCGTGAGTGAACTTGGACGATTTCACGGAGTCGACGAGACCGTGTGTGGATTACGTGATGCTTTTCGAATGAAAATCTCGACCTCTCCTTCTCTTTGAAACCACTCTTCTCAGATTAGGAAGACTCGTTTCGAAATAGGACAAGCTCTATGAACATCGTTGGAACTATCGTTGGCGTCGCTCGCAGCGCCCTCACGCTCGAAATTCTGACTCACAGCTGACGCGTTCGAAAAGCTGAGATATTTGAAAGTCATTTACCCCTTTGTCGTGGCAACTTTCTTCCCGATAAATCTTACTCATAGAGAAGAAGGTGCGAAAGTTTATTCTCTGTGTATGTGCACGCGTTGTGTGTATGTGTGTGTGTGTGTATGCTAAGCGCTGTGTGTATGGTAAGCGCTATGTGTATGTGTATATGTGAATTTGCACGAACGTGGCCAACCAACCGAAGAAGGATCTTACGGAACATCTTTTATCCAGCGTGGAAAAGATACGGTGAACGAGAGAGAATAAAATATTCGAGACGAAGCCGGTGGCAGCCAAAAGTAGCGAGGAAGCTAAACTGAAGAACCCCTCGCCACGAAAGCAGGGCGTTCGATCGTAAAAACTCTTCGACGATGCTTTGATTTCCCTTTTGTCGTGTCCACGCCATTGGAGGCTTTTTGGAAAGATTTTAGAGGCCGCGATTCTATCCATCGGAAGGCAATTGCCTGTTGGATAACGTGATGCAGTCAAAAACGGTCAGATGAATTTTTGACGAGAAAATAGTGCATACGAATTCACGAGTTGACGTATACACTCAGAGGGGACCAGAACACAACATTTTCTAATAATATAGCATACGCTCCCATGTTTCGTTTCGACGTGTGCCGCGCAGATACCGAAAAGAAAGGAAAAAAGCAAAATATTCTTGTCATCGAGGAAAGAAAAAAGAAAGTGGGAAAAGATAAAATCGTGTAGGTAAATATACTCTATACCATTGCAAGTATACACATATATACGCATACATATGCATCAGACACCTTGACACAAGACGTCTGGCAGCGAAGAAAACGAGAACAAGGGTTGCCTTTAATGACCGATGCCGATCGATGGTTTAGTTTTACAAATATAACGCGGTTTCGTTATGAGTAGGGATAGATTGAACAGACGGTGGTGGTGCTGGCGGTGGCGGAGGCGGTGTCGTCGTCCATGGTAAAACCGACCGAGCGATTAAAACAGCGATGGATACCGGCGGTCCGAGAGCGTCCCGAGGGTTAATTAAAACCTCTCTAATTATTTATAAACAGTCATTTCTTTTTCCCGCGTGATAATAAACGTGTAATGCTCGCAGCGCCAACGGATTGGTCGACTGGCCAGAACGCTAGTCTCTGATTGGTCGAGTCACCGGCACCCGTTCGAGTCCGCGCGGACTCGATAGCTCCGTTTTCGTCGCACTCATCGCGTCGAATGGTCCTTGACTCCCTCTCCGTGTCATTCCTTTATACCATCTTTCTCGCTCGTGCCGATTCTCGCGTTCTCTCCCTTGCTCGTTCGCGCGTCGCCACTCTCGATAGGTTTCTCTCTCGGTCGCACTCAGGAGCTCGGTCTACCAGCGCGTAATCTGTAAATCCTCGACCGTGGAGAGAACGTAGAAGTCCGGTAAGTTGCTCGAACGGAATCCTCGTCCTCTTACTTCTCCCTTTCTCCGCTGAGTTCCTCCTTCCATGGGCTCTTCAGTTCTCCTCATACCCTTCGTGCTTATCCTTCGTCTCCATCGTCGCTCCCCTCTTCATCTTTCGTGTCTCTTTCCGTCACTCTCAATTCTGTCTCTTTTTTCCATCTCCGTCCCCCGAACTACTCTCCTATATACGCGTATCTCTCTATCCATACTCTCGTTCCGTCTCCTTCGTTTTTCCTTGCCCGGTTCTCTACCACTGGTTTCCATTCCAAGTCGGTGCCCACTCGAAGAAGGAAGCGAGGGGATTTCTTTCAGCGCCGATAAAAGCCTCGCCTCGCTGCCCAATATTGATTCGCGCTCTAATCTGCGGAGAGATCCTTCGCCCTCCCTTCCATCCGTTCCTCTTTCACTCTCTTACTCTTTCACTTGGCTTGTCTCTTTCACTCTTTGCACTGCTACTACTCTCTTTTCGTCGTTCCTTTTGCTCACCTCAGTCGCCGACGTCTCTTACGTCGTCGACAAAATAAACCGCCGATACCTTCGTGGTATAAGTAATAACTCCGGTCAAAGGGAAGACGATATCGGGAAGACGGCATCTGGCGAAAGGACGTGTGCAAAGCCAGTTCCGGAGAAATACAACGCCGTAATTCCACGCTTATGGATACCGTTCGATAGCGGTCGAAGTGCCATCCAATATAAACGACGAATCCGCCAATTACCCAATCGGTATTTCAATTAGCGAGTTGTCGCCCCTGTATTTCTCTCGTTCAAACGACCAACATCTTTTAATCTAAAAAATAAGGAAAAGAAAAAGAGGCACGCTATTGCGTACGCTAAAAGCGATTTTTCTTTTCGCCTTGAACACCATACCCGACTGTTTACCTGAGTTTTTCGTTCGACAATACTCGTTGACCGCATTTTTCCCCGCGGTTATATTTTTTTCTCGTATTGTACGCGAGACTGCGTGTCCTTTTAGCGCGACTCGAATAACTTCCTTTGAAGCACGAGCACCGGCGGCGGAACGTAACCGCCGACGGGAAAACGTTTGTATTCTCGTTCTCTGCTCGATGTTTATCGAATCTAACTGCCCCATACTTACTTTCCTGCCCCATAAAGGTTGCACACCGATTCCACGCGTTTTCCGCTGGACTTAGCACAATACCTGGCAAACACGCGCTCCTTTTTCTCTCTCTCTCTCTCTCTCTCTCTCTCTCTCTCTCTATACCTCTACCTCGAAAGCCGACGACCGCGATATTGAGAAAGGGAGGCGACCAAACCAGCGAAACAAATTGCGCGGTCCGATTGAATAATCCACGAGGATCGTGTTCTTCAGCGGCAGCTTCGTTTTTCGTAATTCACCCGGTAATACAAGTTTAAGGATACGGTTGAGCAGGACTTCTCAATGAAGTCTACGGAAAGCGCAAGGAGGAGGAGGATGGATAAAAAGAGTAAGAAGCAAGCGAGGAAGGAAGGAAGGAAGGAAGGAAGGAAGGGAAACGAGGGGAAAATGGGAAAAGATCGTGCTTGCGAGCAATGAAAAATAATGGGGCGGCACCACCCCCGTCGTTTCCTCTTATACTTCATGAAGTAGAAAAAGGAGAAGCTCACGCTGCCGCCCTTTAATCTTCGCTTTAAGCCACCAACCGTTTCGCGAGTTTAGCGCGAAATGAAAAATTCATTTCCATCGAGGCGACAAGACTTTCTGCTGCTCGTCCGTTCTTCTCTCCTCTCCTCTCCTCTCCTCTCGTACCATCATCCCCTTTCGCGTTCAGCATTCCAGCATTCGCGACCGTTTTTCCGACCGTTTCTTAACGTCCCGCCACCAGAGGAATTCATTACGGGAGTGTCTGTGCGTCGCGCATCCGATTGCAGAAATGACGTATGCGAGAGAATGCGCTTGTAACGAGGTTTAACTGAGAAACGCGACTGACGAGCCGATTTGTCTTTATCAATCCTCTACCCGTCTTAATCGAGATACCCAAGATCTCGTCGGGGAATTGTACTATTTTTCGTTGATCTGAAATTTTATCAATTTTTCCATTAAAGAGTTCTCGTGTAATCGTGGGAGGGCCAATATTTATTTCTATTCGGTATCGTTTTGAATTTACGCGAGAATTTGGTGAAATGAAAATTAGCGAAAATTAATGGAGTTGAAATTTATATAAACGGTTTGTTAGTAAAAGAATTTATCACAATTATATAAAATGTGTGCACGTATATAAATTGGGGAAAAACGATTTTGATATATCTATAAAAAATATCTTTTTTTTTTTTATTTTAAATCGGTAATTATTGTTTTTCAACAATTCTATAAATATCATTTTAACGGAAAAATTAGATGCACGTGTTTATACAAATTCAATAATAAATATAATTATTAATTGTTAAGTACTTATGAGCTTTATTATTAATTTATTAAAAATTCCTAATTTCATTCGAATAATAATTGAATAAATGTTGGTTCATGGGCTTGACATAGTTTGCAGCGATTGAAAACATATAAATTAATAATTCAAAATATGAATCGTGAGTGTAATTGAGCGAAACATGATTTGTTGATTTTTATGTTTCAGTCAATGAAATACACGTTTCCCCATTTCTTTATAAATATCCGTAAATATATGCAGTTAACGAGTCTTTGAAACAGCAGGTTTATTTGCATACACATTCAAACACATTTTTCCACAAAAAGCAACCATTTTCAATTATATCGTCACTTTCAGATTATAATAAAACGCAAATAGTTATTCGAATAGTTATTATTATTTAATTTTTATAATCTTAAACAAATATGATACAAGGGCTCAAGAGTTTGATATCCATACCAATGTTTTCGAGGAACGAATCAAAGAAAACGAACAAATTCGCCTCTCTTCTAATTACTTCAACTCAAAAACTTCGAACGTAATTGAAAAGAAAAGAAAGAAAAGAAAGACGTGCCACAATTATCATAATTCATTCGCGAAACGCTTTCAAAAAAAAAGAAAAGACGGAAACACTCGATGATATACCACACAACGTATATAAGCACGTAACGACACCGCTCCATCATCTTCCACTCCATCTCTTGGCAAAAAAATGAGGAAAAGAAGGAGAACGAAACGGAACAAACACCGGTTGATTGCATCGTTTTTCCAGGATCCGGGACAGAGCTTTCAAGACGCTCGTTCAAGCAGAGGGAGGCGACGCGTTAATTCGTATCTCA